TACAGATGCGATTCCCAACCCCCTGAGCCACGGTTGCCCTCATTATATGATGATGATGCATAAAACCTCCAATTAAAAGAGGGCACATTTTTCTTTTACTTGATTATCAGCTATAGCATTGAATGTCAATTTGGACTAAGCCTTTAGATTTTTTATGGTCTCAATTTGCAAAAAATTTATTTCAATGAATATTACAATTTGATTTATAATAAATTTCCTCTCATCGAGGAAACCAAGCCAAGCAGCCAAGTCAATTTTGATGAACAACTTTATCAAGGCCGTGCAGATATATTACAGCCGGTTTGCTGTCGGGTAATCCAAGAAGAAGAAAAAAAAGAAAGAAAACCTTTACATTTATTTTTATTTTTCTTAAACCATTTGCAATCAGCTCTCCCATCATCCATCAGCAGCCCATATAGACATATAACCCAGATAACTTTAGGTGTGTGAATGAAAACAACTTCTGAATAAGGGGGGAAAAAAAGTCTATATTAGAGATGTGCTGGGACATTTTTTATGATCCTATTACTCTGGTCAGAGAGGACAGAAGAGTATCATAATAATCAACAGATACAGTTATAAAAAACTTCACTCCATTAGTGGAATTGATTCACCAAACCAAATAAAAATGGTTGACTCCAGTAATCTATATATTCATAATCATAAACTTTTGGGGTGTTTTTATTCTTACAGTGAAATCAAAAATGTCATGCATGGTTGTCCCTCTAAAACAAAAGGTTTTGAAGAGCATGTGGGTGGGGCTACAGTGCTCAGCCAGAGTGGTGTGGCAAATAGCAAATCACAGGTATTTATGCAACAATTTTCTGCTCTTACTGAGCACTTAAAGTGCTTCTATACTAAAAGCCATATTCACCAAGGACACTTCGACATGCGGTTTGGAGAAAGGTAAGTCACGTTGCCCCCTTACAGCCACCGAGCTCTGTTCCTTAGACAACCACATTAAAGAGGCATCAAAACAGGAAGACAGTAGTAGTGACGTGGCAAGCAGAGATCACGGGGTCCAACAATGAGTCCAAGGATTTCATACTGATACCTAATGGCAGCCAGGGTGCCATTGCCTAGTCTGTGGAGGTCTCTGTGTCCATGCATGGTTAAGCCTTCACAGGCCATCAAGGACTTACCACCAGACTGCTCATGGTGGCCAATGTTACAGGCAGGATAATGTTCCCCACAGCTTTTCCAGACCCTAAAAATCACAGGGTGCAAATACCAAATATACAGGACCTATACTAGAGGACACTGGGTCCTCAGCCCACCCTAATGAAGTCAGTCTCTGATTGTTTGGTTAGAAACATTCACACCAGTGGTGTGTTGGAGGGCATTTTGTAGGCACTACAATGTCCATCCTGTTCCTCTTTGCATATCCAGTCAGAAACAATGATGAGGGGAAAACTGTCCAACTGTAAACCCATTCCAGTTTGGGGATTGTCTCATTGTTGACCCTTTAGTGCATCAGTTGTTAATTTCAGTAACAGAAAAGCAGCTGAAACCGATTAACAACACCCTCTGCTGCCTAACTGACCAGAGGTTTCACTGAATAAACTCTGTAACAGTAAAAACTGTAACTTTTGCATGTAGTTGTATTTTATACTGTATGAATAAACCAACATACTGAACTGAGGGGTCACACTGACTTCTTTTAGAAAATGACTACATAAGTGAATGCCCTGTCCTCTAAATCCAAAAGATATGCAGAGACTATAAATCATCTCATATGCTGCCTGAGCTCCTGCTGCCTCCAGTCTTATTCATCTTATCTTCTTCCTCACATCCTGTACTGTACAATAAAAGACTGCTGTTTCACTGTCATTTGTTAGTGTCAGCTGAAAGCCTTCAAACAGGATTTTTCCCTCAGTTCTTTGGAACATATATCCTCCCTAACTTAGCTTGAACATCTGTATTTAATATAAGAACCATCCATTAATGCTTAACAAATCAATCATTTTTCCATCTCAGAGATGCAGAGAATATTTTTTTAGGCTGCTGACTGTTTATACACATACACTGTAGTTTTGGTGATTTATAATTAATCCATCCATCCATCCATTCGCTTCCGCTTATCCTTTTCAGGGTCGCGGGGGGCGCTGGAGCCTATCCCAGCTGTCATAGGGCGAGAGGCGGGGTACACTCTGG